TTCAAGTCTGCACTACGACCGTCTTTTTGCTTGTTTCAATATCAAACATGGCAAAATGTTTTGTTTTGTCTCCAAAATAAAACTAAGCAAAAGTTTAGAAACTTTTGGCAGAAAAAAACTTATTTCAACGAACTTATAATGATGATTTATGTAAAAAAAACATGCTTTGTTATTGACTTCCAAGGGTGAATAGATTGCAGCCTCCTCAGTGTTTCAGTGTTTGTCTTGTGCACAGCAGTATCTTACCTTCTGCTGGTTGATGTGAATAGCTAAAGGGTCTTATGTGCTCTACAGAGTATGAGTATGAGGCGCTGTGGTTAGTGGAGGTCTGCTAATGAGGGAAGCGTGTGACAGGTGTGTTCAGTCCAGGCCAGTTCGGCGAGTCCGAGGCCGTGTTTTAAAGCCAGCACAGCAAGTGGGGCATGTAGTTTGCATTAAAGGGATTAGCAGCCACTTCAAAAGATGACCTGGATTCTGCCCACCAGGGACCACCAGTTCCACACTCCCCTTTAAAGAACCTCCGTATGGCACAGCTCCCCTGCCACTGCCCACCGCTCCACTCTGTGTGTGTGTGTGTGTGTGTGTGAGTGAGTGAGTGTGCATTGCTTGGTGCACAGGTGTACCTGTGATTTTGGTCCATGCACAGCTAGTGCTCAGCAGTATTGAGACAATCCAATTTCACAATAAAAATATACTTATAATTAATATATATACACAGACTTGTTCAAAAGTCAGAGACCACCGTTCATGTATTTAATTTGCAGTCAAAATGGCCATTAAATAGAAGAGGAAACTCAAATGAAAATAAGTAAAAAAACAGGAGTTTTTAAATCTGTGACTCCTAATAGCCAAGCAGGACCTGGTAGACACCAAAACTGTCCCCATCAGATAAACAGCACTTAAAGCTTTCCTCTTTCAGAGAGAGGAGAAAATCAAGCTACTTCAGATGTGAAAACATCCACAGGTGTTTCTGTCCATCCTTCCACTGTGAGAAGACAACTCAGCAATATGAGTCTGAAAGGATCTGTTGCTGCTGGTGTTTCTCAGAACAGTGGACTGACCACTCCAGAGTCCAGACCTCAACATCACTGAATGTGTTTGGGATTATTTTGATTGTGAGAAGCAGAAAATTATAGACCAACTTCAAAGACTGAACTTTGGAGGTGTGGAAAAACATCCCTGCAGATTTCTGTGAAAAACTGAAAGCCAGTGTTCTGAAAAGAATGGAAACTGTAATGAAGGAAATAGTCGACACACTAAATACTGAAATATTATTATATTTAGTTCTTGGCCTTTGCGCTTGACACAAAAAAATTAATAAGTTGTATTTAATGACCATTTTGACTAAAAATTGAATGAATAAAGGGTGGTCTTTGACTTCAGCATAGTACAGCAGAGTACTGTGTGTGTGGGTGTGCATATCAGGGGTGCACAACAGTTTGGTAGTTGACACCCCAGTCACATTCACTAAACATGGCAATTAACAGGTGAGTTAAATCAGGTGTGTATGAGATGTGAGATCACACACACACACCACACAAACACACACACATAGTGATAACGAGGTCTGATCTTTACAGGAGAAGGAAAAAACCTACTTTACCTTTACTAATGGAACCAGACATTTTCCCAAGTCATTTTGGGCCTTTTCTTTTGGTCCCTTCATGCACACAATATAAAGGGCAACAGGCATTTTCATGTGTATGTATGTATGTATGCATGTATGTATGTATGTATGTATGTATGTATGTATAAGCAGATTCATGATTCTAATATGATGCTAATATTCTATAGGCTTAAAACACGTTGTGTTATTTTGCTGTAAAAATTAAGATTTTGTAGATGATTCTATAATAATTGAGAAAGCCGTACACATAGGAACTGACCATGAACTTAAATAAATAAAATAAATATCTAAAGTGCCTCAAATATCCTTTGATCTGTTAGCTATTCATAGTTTTCTGAAGGGAAAAATATTCCTGACTTTCACTTTAAGTTAATGTAACAAGATTTTACATTATTTGTCACCATTATTTTTGGTGCATCATAATAAGGTTTTGACACATTGTAAACAGCAGCTGGTGTTTTCAAACAGCTAAAAATGAAAAACTAAGATGAAAAGTCTTGTTCTGACAGAAATTACATATGTAATTACTATGTAATATTATACAATAACTGCATGATAATCTAATTACATTTAAATAGTACAGAAGAATGACTGTAATAATTGTCTACAGCAAATGACACTAAAGGAAGCCTTATACAGTATTATGAAGTTAACCAAACACAGACCACTTTTCTAGAAAGGAAAATGTCTATTTATTTTTTGTATTTTAAACTTTTCATTCTGAACCAGCTGAAGCACCAGCAATTGACACGTATTGCAGTTTTTGTTTTCTGTCAATATCACTAAAAATAAAAGTCTGTGTGTGATGATGTTGTATCCCCTAGCACTGTGTGTGTGTCTGTGTGTGTGTATGTGTGTGTGTGTGTGTGTGTGTATGTGTGTGTGTGTGTGTATACTTCATCAGCGCGTTATCTCAGAAGATCATCTCCTCAAAGGTTCTACTCAACATGCAGCGTTTCTCACCTTTTGTTTTTCCCCTAACCTTTTGATTTCATGCCTGGATAGTTCCAAGTAGGTGTGAGGGCGATGCTTCTACAAACAAAATAGTCGTAATTTGTATGCAGTCACCTCCACTGATGGATCTGAAGGTTGCTTTTGTTTTTCGCATCACTTCTTTTGCCCGTGAATTGAACATGCATATTAATATGTGATGTGTCGCATATATATTTACTGAAATGGAGAGCTTGAAGGGGAGAGGAATCGCTGAAAAACAAATAGGAAAAGGCGGAATGTCGGGCAGTTTTATCCACTGATACGGTTTTATCCTGAATCTTCTAGTATAATGAAGACTTGGTACCTTCAGTCATTTACTTGGATCATATGTAACACATGCAGTTGTTTATTCCTGTCATCTCGTTTTGAGCTTTAGTGAAGGCATATAGGGAATCGCCTAGAGCTTTTGCGATGTATCAGCGTCCTTATCAGCATTTATTACCGCACGTTAATGCGGTAATTAACAGTAATTATCAGTCGCTCTAAAAGGGCTGCAGAAAACAGGAAGCTAAAGGGTAATGGTGATATTATTCACCTCGTTCTGCTCACACAAGACAGGCTACTGGCTGGTTGTCATGGCCACAGCCATTGATCCCTGGGCGTGCGCCTTTGGATTGAGATGTCGGGGTGTGTGTGTGTGTGTGAGTGTGTGTGTGAGGCAGTGCTGGCATGTCACTCGGTGCTGCAACGTTCTTTACCATGCTCGCTGCCGCACTGGGCCCACAGCTATTGATCTCCATGCAAATTTGACTCTATTCTCGGCTAATTGGATTTAGATAATAGAAATGACAGACAAGTCCAGCAGATGAATTTACACATTCTGTATCGTGGTGTTTGATTAGAGGGTCTGGTTGATTGCCCAGTTGTATCATAGCACAAATGTTACAGTGAAAACACTGTTGCATTGTGGGCTGTAGATATTTCTTCTGAAGTGCAACTTGATGCTAGGGATGCACTGATCATGAATTATTATGACTGGTTCTGATTCCAGGTTTTTTATAGCCGAATCGCCTGATGGACAATTTTTTGCCTGTAGCCATTTTTTAATCCCAAAGCTCACACACTATCCCACTTTCCAGGACTTTCTGTTAGCCACAAAAGTCAGGATATAACCAACGTTATTTGCTCTTTGATGGGACAAACTGGCATTTTAAATTCTTGTACAAAATAACAGAGTTGCCTGTTTAAATAAAATGACAACAAATAAAGCGCAACATTGAAAGCAAGAGACAGCTGGCTATTCAGCACAGTGAGCCATGCATAATTACTGGTAGAGGTGTGGCAGCAGCATTCAAATACAGCACCTACCTGACTAACATTATTCACGTCATAAACTTGCAGCGTAGATTAAGCAGAATTGAAATAATATAGTGCTGATCGCTTGTTTGGAGCAAAAATTGAAAACTTCTGATGTTCATTTTGGACAAACAGCAAAGTGAGAAGAGTTCTCTTCACTGCTTGGTAGTGGATGTACTGTTCATGAGTTAGATTCATGCCATGTATTTTACCCAGACACTGATCAATTTTAGTTTAAAATAGCTAATATACCTTTTTTTACTGTTTTCAATATAAACATATGTGGTTAATAGGTCTTATTTGCCTTTGGCTTTGCCATTCAATTTGGTGCAGAATATATTATATATATATATATATATATATATATATAAGTATACATACATATATATGTAAGTCAGTGCAACCAGACTTTTTTCCAAGACATTTTGGGCTGTTTCTTTTGGCCCGTTCATCATGAAATTTACACACAATGTAAAGGGCAGTGGGCATTTTTAAGAGAGCATGCTATTAATATATGCAACTTTTTGGTTTGTTAAACATGACAAAAGAACAAAGCCTACACTATTTTACTTGTGAAAAGTGTCTTACATATCAGAAAAATGTAGCACCTTATTTTGATGGCCTACTGTAGATGCTCACTTACATATATATATATATATATATATATATATAAATAGATACAGTCACAATATGTTCATTTCAGCAGCTTTAAAACATGTAGAAGTATGTTTTCTGTAGAGGATGTGTGACTTATTTTGACCTTGAAAATCAAAAAAACATATTTCACCAGTGGTCAAAACTTTTGCATATCCATTAATTTGCATAGCTATTAATTCAAACTTTCCACCCTTAACTAAGCATCAACCCTAATACTAACCCCAACACTTACACTGCTGCTTATCAACTGATTTTATGTATTATAATGGTGAAATTAATTTGAATTTCACCAACTTATTAACATTTGGGGTGTTTGTAGATAAGCTATAGAGGGAGTCTAAACCAGACATGCTGAGAACAATTAGAGCAACATTTGATTTTTAATTTATGGTTGAATGACGTTGAATGTTTCTTCTGTTTTTTTTAGAACCACACTCTGAGCCAGCACAGCAGTTAAGAAAGCCTGAGTCTCCATGAAGAAGAAGAGTCACATCAAGAGGCCTCTGGACCTGACGATTCAACCGATCATTGTGCTTTTTTGTCGATTTTTGCACTGAACTTTTCATTTCAGTTACAAAAGTATAAAAATAAAAAAGTTACAGAGCGAGAGCAGAAGGCCAATGAGAGGAAAGATCTTTGTCAATTGATGTTTAATATCCAACCGACCTATTTGTAAATACTGTTCTTTCTGTGTTACTGTTCGTCAGCTCTTAAGCGTTCTTGCGGTTGCCATTGTACATACTGTTTGTTGAGGAGAAAAAAAAAAGTATTCCAATTTGTCTAAACCGTTATAAACGGACGAGTCATCAGCCAGAGACCTTCAGCCTCAGAAGGACATTTTTTAAAGGCGAGGACAGCCGACACGAGTCCGGACGCGCGTGATACATCCTTACGGCCCGTGGGATGGACTGCTTGATCACCAGCATGGCCTGCGCGTCCGTACATCCGTAAAGCGCTTTTACGGAAAACTACACACCTCAGTTGAAGTAGGTGGAGCCATCGTGGATCATGAAGCTAAGCTTACAGAGACTAAACAGTAAAAGGACAGAAGCGATACTTGATATATGCAAAAAAAAAAAACAGTTTCTCATGTAAAAGAAAAGTATAAAAACAAGCTCAACTCTTCATGTTGGCAAGTGACCCATTCCCCTTAAAGCTGTATGAGAAAATGCTCCACTGAAGCGACTTGTACATTTCTGTTATTAATGTTTACCCCTCGCAGGAGTCTGGATATGACTGGAACCTTCCTTTCTTTGCCTCTTTGTTCAGAGCGATGCGCGATCGGGGGATTAATTCATTCCCTGTTTCGGCTTCGTTCTGGCTGCTATCATCATTTCACGGCCCTCTCGTGAGGTTCTGCCCCCCTCCAAAAAAAGAAGAAGAGAAAAACTGTACCTGCCCCCTCGTTCACGAGCGAGCCAACCCGAGTCATTTCTGTTGCTATGCTATTGCTCTATAGATGCTGTGAGACATGCTAATATGTACAGTATACTCATGGATCTCTGGTATGTACCAGTTTTGCATTCATTGAATCCTGAAATGCACTTTTGTAACACGCCATACTTTCATGGATGTTCATGTTTGAAAAGGCGTTTGACAAGTGACTACCGACTCAGCCACAAGACTTTGGGGAATCAAAACTTTTACCAAGGGCGACAACTTCTGGTGTTAATGGGGGAGAAAAATGTTATATACAAATATTAACCGGGGTCTGAATTTGCTAGACCTCTTTTTTTGTGTTCTCATGTGATGAAAACATTAAAATTGTATGATGATATGGCTCTGTAGTGCTGAATTTGTGTGTGAAATGTTAGATATATTGCATTTTTTATTTTTCAGTAGTTAATAAATTTTCTTTAAAAATGTAGATAGGATTTAGTATTAAAAAAGAGAAAAAAAATACTTGTTCGTCCCCATTAGGTATTATTCACATCCAGATATTAGACATATTGTAGGTTAAGTATATAAGTGCTGGATCATGTGACAGTACCACTAATTTGGAAGCGCAACGGTAAACAATTCTGTTCAATCCTATTCAGGCCAGTTTATTTTTAATAATTACCAATTATAAGTCAGGCTCAAATTCTAGTTCTTAAGCTGTAGTTGTGGGTGAAACTGTAGTTCAGCAGATAATTGATCTACAAAACACCAGGCCTGGACAATATAATTGGATATTGTTGATGATTGACAAATAACACCATGATGATGATGCTTAAAAGGCAATAATCACCACGTTGGGAAAATGAAACGGTGGAGAACTAAGGAGCACTACTTTACCTTTTTTGGCTTGCTGAACAGTATTAAATAATGTATACTCAGTGTTTACATTTCAGAAAACTTTGCAGTCTTTTCCGTTCAGCTAAAGTGTTCTGGTGATTTAGATCAGTTAAATTATGAAAATATAACACTACATGGTTTTTCAAAGGCATCTATAGCTGAACTCCATAATGAATCCACTATAATCACAGAAAAAAACTTTGTTTTTTAACAAAATCACTTATTTAGTACAGTCTGAAGTTTCTGCAGCGAGGTACCTACACCAGAAGAAGCTTATGAATGCACGTTTGCAGTAACATCTGTTAAAACGACACGTGAAGTAGATTTCCAAAGACGTTGGGATACTCAGTGATATGTAATAAGTGATTTTTATTAAAGATGTTCATTAAACCAGTTAATGTTTTTAAAAAAGCCTAAAAACTAAAAACAGAACAGAAACAAGGTCTAAGCTGCAGCACCTGTATTATTTGGGGGGTAATATCGATAATGGAGCCTAAACAACACTAAAACACACTAAGACATACTTTATATAGTCCAGTAATCTACAGGAAAGTGCCAGTACATGACTCAGTCTCAGAGGAGGTTGCTGGGTAAGTACCATAGAAATAATTGCCTCAGGTACACAGGCTGCCCCCCTACCAACGGTATGGCACCTTAGGTAGTGAACACATGTACCTGCACCTTAGGTAGTGAACACATGTACCTGCACCTTAGGTAGTGAACAATTTAAAAGCAGTATGTAAGAAAAGTGAGGGCTTGTGTAAAGCACCATAGAAACATCAGTATTGTGAGAAAGTCAAAGACCACCTTTCATTTAATTCCCAGTAAAAATAGCCATTAAGTACAAGTTATTCATGTTTCAGTATAAAAAAAAACAGAAGATGTATGAAGGGTTTCAGTCCAAAATGCATTAACAGTCAACTTTTAAAAATTCTTTTTTTATGATATATTGTTGAGTGTGGGCTTTACATATACAAGAAATATTAATGCTATAATATGATTAATACCACATATTTTCTATACATCAGCTGTTATTCTTCTCATTTTTTCCGCAGTATTTACTGTGTCCACCCCTCCGTTTTTTTCAGGAGTCTTGCTTTCAGATTTTCAAAGAAATCTACAGGAATATTTTTTCACACCTCAGAAGTTCAGTCTTAGAAGTTGGTTGAATTTTCTCATTACACTCCAAGTAATCCTAGACACAGTCAATAATGTTGAGGTCTGAGCTTTTAATATATTTTAAAAAAACATTATGTAGTTGTCAACACAGTATTTGAGAGAAGGCGAGTGGGGGCATGATGCCAAAAAACCATTAAGAGGTAAAAAACAAATTATACCACTGGGTAAAAGTAATCCAGCTTGAACAGGGATTAAGATGGTGTTTGCTTTTTTGAGTTTTCTGATCACAGCTGGACATGAGAAAGCAGAACTACTTTGGAAAAATAGTCCATATATGCTGATGACAATTGTAGTGAATGAAACCAGGAGATGCATGAATTATAGTTCTAATAAATGCACTGTAAAATGCGCCTTTCACCCCAAGAGAGAACCTCTTCACACAGGCCTGTTATGGTGCCTATGAAGCGTGCTACACCGTCTTTAATTGCTGATTACTGCATTTATCTCTACCCTGCTTTGTAAACATGCAGATACATGACTGCTAAGCCCAGTGGTCAGTCATTGGTGCACACTGTGGCCCCTCTGTTCTTCAGTGCCAGTGACTACCTAGGCTATGGATGGCACCTTGCACAGCCATGACTTAAAAAGACTAGAAATGGCAGCTGTTTTTTTCTTTACTCATAAATCAAATACAACAAAAATGCACAACTCAAAAGTTTAAAGATTCAAAGCCCACAAACCCTCCATCATTTTGTCTTATTGACTGAGAAAAACAGCAGCTGGTTACATTTTTAAAGCAATGTACTGCATTATGAATTATAATTCAATTGCAAACCAGCTCAGCCTTATCCAAAGCACACGCAGGCTGCTGCTGAACCTTTTCAAACTGCTGCAGTGCCCGCTCTGGCCGTGCTTCTCAATGCGTTCAGAGACAAATAAGCCTCCAAGTCAGACTGGCAACCTCGCCTATGTTGGTAACTCCTGATGTATTGATCTATTGGTAGCGATGCTGCAGGGATAGCTTGCCACTAATCATCAACCAAATGCAGATAAGCAGAGAACATCTCTGAAATAAAGAGGCACTGGGTTCCTCGCAGTTTCCTGCGCACATCTGTGATGCAGACAATCTGTTTGAAGTTAGCCAGGCGCCCGAGCACACATCAGAAACGTTACAGTCCATCTCTCCCAGTTTAACCATTAAAGTGAATGCGCGTTTGGCAGCGCCGAAGCGGCTCGGTTTTTAGCAGCGAACGTTGCCAGGCACTTTTAATAAGCTTCAAGGGTATTCAGACCCATCCAGCTTCCCCGTGTTTGCCAACGGCGTACTGGCCCACTCCATCCATTCCATTAAACCGGGTGGTGGCCTCCTGCTCGTGTTTGTGATTTAATTAAATGCGCTTGCGGAGGCGATGGCAGGACCACTGCATTGTCTGTCACCGGCCAGCACTGCCAGCACACAGGAGGCAGGGCAGGGCCCAGGCTCGCTGCTTACCCAAAAAGGGGGGATTGGTGGGGGGCATTTTCTGGCACACGCCATCACAATGGGGCGCTTCAGCCACATAGCAGCACCTAAGCAGATCTACCCACCAAAAGCTGCATGCACAGCTTGCTGTTATGCATAGTGATTGCCTACCAGGGTGAAAACTGGAATATATTGCAATATATTGACTATATATTCCAATATATGAGTACATTATATTGGAATATACACTGCCATTGCTACTGTCATTGGCTGTTCTATCAGAAACAGGTGCATTTTGTAGGTTTACTGTTACAGACTGTAGCCCATCTGGTGCTACACAATTTATCAGCCCCCTACCCATCACATCAATGGAAAGAGACCACCATAGGACCACTGCTGACCAGATATTATTTGGGTGGTGGATAATTCTCACAGCAGTGACACCGACATGTGTTATTGTGTTTTTTGCAGACTACCCAAAAATATCCAGCTTGCTTTGTGGTCAGAAACTGACCACTGATGAAGGACTAGAGAACGACAAACACATTGAGCATAGAAAAAGATGAGCTACAGTCTCTAACTACACAGACAAGGGGTACCTACAAATTAGGGGTGTCTAATTAAAAGAATAGCTAGCACTGAAGCCACAAGACTGAGAAGTCAATAGTCACCCAAATCTTCTTTCTAAATACACATTAAAAACTTTTCTCAACCTGCTTACACTTCATCTAGATCTCAACATCATTTAGACTCCGTCTCTACATCATTTTGACTCGATCTTGTCTCTACATCATTTTGACTCAGGCTTTTCTCAGTCTCTACATCATTTTGACTCGGTCTTGTCTCAACATCATTTTGCCTCAGTCTTGTCTCAGTCTCTACATCATTTTGACTCAGTCTTGTCTCAAAATCATTTTGCCTCAGTCTTGTCTCAGTCTCTACATTATTTTGACTCGGTCTTGTCTCTACATCATTTTGACTCCTTCTCTACATCATTTTGACTCGGTCTTGTCTCAACATCATTTTGACTCAGTCTTGTCTCAGTCTCTACATTATTTTGACCTGGTCTTGTCTTAGTCATCATCATTTTGACTTATTTTTTAGGCTATGTATTATTTACAATTATATTTTACGAAATATAACAGCTATATATTAATATTTATCATATTTAATGAATGATTAATGTATAATAAACTACTTTTGTCTTTTTATTTTTATATTCTGAAAAAAAGACAACTATTACAAAGGCTTGGTCTTGAATCAGACTTGATGTGTCCAAGTTTTGGACTTCACTTGAACTCACCACAGTTATGACTACAACACTAGTAGCTACAGAAAAGATTTTAGTGACTACTGACTTCTAGTGTTTCTTTACATCATTAGCTTTGAAGCTTCAGCAATAAACTACAGAAAATTTACAAACCAAGTGTTTTGACTCATTGACTACATCTGAGGTAAGTGGAAAATTGTTACAAGTCGCCAGCAAATATATCTCTGGTTCACACATGTTGTGTAGTTGCAATGTCCCACAAACTTGGCTGAATTTCACTAAAAGCCTTTAGGTCTGTAATGATGAGAGAGCAAAGTAAAGATTCTGAAGATGAATAAGCATCAGTGAAGAATGAATACATTTATTGATTTATTCATCTATGCAGTTCACTTGCTTTTGGTTGTAAGGCCACTGCAGACTCAATAAAACATTTGACAGAAACGTAATAATTAATACAAAATATACCTTTAATTGCTCCAAGGTGGATACTATGATGTCAGCCATCGTCATTATAGGATAGTTTATTGTATTAGGATCAATGAATATCAGTTGCAGGCTATTGTCTCCCTGCAGCTTTTTCAGCCCAGGACTTTAATGAACTGAGCCACTGTGTGATTAAATTCTTAAGAAATATTTTTTCTATTGTTAAATA